ATATATACATATACATATGTATATATATATGTATGTATATATGTATATATGTATTTATTTTTTATTTTATTATTTTTTATTTTTTTAATTTATTTGTTTAAAAATTTTTTAAATTTTTTTTTCTTATTTAAAAAATATTTTACAAATAATTGCATGCTATTTAAATTGTAATGATGCTGTCAGGAGAGCCACTTGAGAGTTTTTAAACCTTTTTTAGCAATCCTTGGAAGGCAGCATCATGTTTTTTATATTTTTTCAGAAATTAAATTTGAATTGAATTGAATTGAAATCCAGATTGAACAGTGCAGGGCTCGGAAAAGGCCCTGGAAAACACACCTTCTGACTACATCCCTTGAGAAATGCCCCTTGACTACACCACTTGCCATATAGCAATCCCGTAAGAATGAAGTCTGTTATAGGCAAAATGCTACGACAAACTCAGTCGAAGGCTTTACTAAAGTCAAGAATCTATACATCAATAGGGAAGGGAAACAAGTCTCGAGAAGAGGACGAATCATGGTAAACAGTAGCTAAGGCTGTTTGACAAGAGCTACAATTCGTGAAACTATGTTGAAAGATTATAATAAGCCATGATTAAATTAATTGATTAAATGACCAACGAGATGTTTGAAAACTACTTTTTCTAAAAGCTTACTAATAGTGACACATAAAGAAATAGGATGATAGTTCCTGATTTATGGATGTGAATATGTGAAAATTTTAGGTTAATCAGTTCAGTAATTTATGAGTTATGCACCCGGAAGGACACACACACACCACATACAGATAGACAGCCCGATGCACGCAATTGCAGTACCCTTCACCTCTCCTTCGGAGAGGAAGGGTTTTGTTGTATTATTTCTACTTGAATCACTATTGATATACACTTTTAGAAGTCAAAAAATAATTAAATAAGTAATTTGTGGGCACTGTTCTGCTGTGCCTATGCTGGTTTGAGCTTTGTTTACGTTAGTAATTGAATTTTTGGTGACTTTCTTTAATCATTTTGTCTTTCCCCAATTTTTGTGTATTAGTAGTATAGTCTATGGACTTGCACACGTCCTGTTATTCAATTGGTTGTGCTGCGGTTGCTCAGTGCCTAGCCTTGGCATAGGGAGGTCCAGAAACAAGAAAGAATAAATAACAATATAAGCTGGTGAAACCATTTAGCAATCTTCAGGATATTGTTAAGCAATCTCTAAACTTGCAATCTCTTCTTTCAGCATTTTCCACCACAAAAGATGAACCCACTTGGACCGATCCCCCACTACTTAAAATTTTAATTTATAAACCTTTCTATTTCTGGCTTAATATTGTAATGCAGCGGGAATCCTCAGAGGCTGCGTTGGATCTTAACAACTTAATACCTGCTTACCTTTGCAATTAATTAATCTGACATTTTAACATTCGACTCCAGAGCCATATCTTTCCTAGTGTTTGGAAGAATGCTGTTGTGAATCCAGGTAAGAGGCCAAATGCAAACAAGACCAAATGAGCACAGTCAAATAAATATAACACCAGTCTCTGGAGGCAGACGTGGATCTAGGATTTTCTATGACCTTCGCACAGATGGGGTGGTCCTTGCACTGGTGGATCCAGAATTTTGAAATAGAAGGTGCCCAGAGGACGGCCCCGACTACATACTGTACATCTAGTAAATTAGAAAAGGATCTAAACACACAGTGGCAGTACATTCACAACTTATGGAAAACAGAGATTTGTGCAGAACAGTTGTTACAAAGTTATAACTTTGCTCCTCATTAACCGGGTGTGCCTGATAAAGAGAGATAGACAAGGAAAATATACCACGGCAGTGACATATACAGGATGCCTGAGCATCCCCACTTGGGGGGAGGTTGAAAAAAAAAGTGACCCTTTTTAAATGTTAAAAATAACTGACATAAATTTTAAGTATTAAAGTGCCATTCCTGGCATCTAAGACAATTCTTAAATTTTGTCACCTCAACCTTCAGCTATAACATTGGCCCTGGTTCATACGGCTCACTCGCCAATGGTTCTGGTGGTGGAACAAGTTTTCTCGGATAAGGACGGTAGGCCAGTGTATGCATTTGGCTCGTGTGCACTTTTAGAACCCAGTACATCTTTTGAGAAGAGTAGAGGGTTACCCCGGTATACTAGTCATTCAGTCCCCTGTCGTTTAATGGGTATGCCACATAAAATAGTGATTAAGTTCATCATATGAAATCATGATGGACTCAGGTGGATATACTGTAGGAAATTTTTCTAGTTTTTATGTATTAAAGTGCCATATTCTGGCATCTAAACATCCCCAATTCTTAAAATTTTCTCACCTCCGACACATCCGTGATGGGGCTCATGTGGATATAGTAATTTCCATAGTTTTCATGCCATTTTCCAGCATCTAAAAGCCTCAAATTCTTACAATTGTCTCACCTCAGCTTCAACCGTGGTGATGGATGGTACAGTAGTTTTTATAAATTTTAAGAATCAATGTGCCATTTTCAGGCATCTATGAAGTCTCAAATTCTCAAAATTTACTCATCTGTGCCCCAAAACCATGGTGGGTCTCACAGATATTGTAAATTGTGTACTATTCAAGTGCTATTTTTGGGCATCTATACGTGTCTCAAATTCTCAGAATTATCTCACCTGAGCCCAAACCATGGTTGTGTGGCTCAGTTTGATATGGTAGTTTTTAGATTTGTAGGTATTTAAGTGTCATTTTCAAGTACATGTTTAAATAATTCAGTTTTTTTTTGTTTTTTTTTACTCAATTCATCAAAAATAACAAGAAATAAAAGGTAATTTAATAATAATCTATTTCTGGGCATCCAGAGGTATAAAATGCTGAACCACCAACCACGATGGTGCTGAAATGGTGTGGACTCTCAGTTCATCACCACCCCCCTTCTTTAAATCCTGGATATGCCACTGTTGGTGAAAACAATAGTAAAAGGCCCATTCCTGGCAAAATTTCACTAAAAACAGATTTTGTTTAGAAAAGATGCATATGCATTACTCCAATTATTATAAATTATTGAAAAATATTGGCATAAATTTTAGTTTTACGCAAAAGATCAGTGTAAAATCAGTGTAAAAGTATAAAATATAGGCAGGTGTGGAGTTAAACAATGTCCTAATGGTAATGTTCAAATTAAGTGTCAAGGAAATAAAGTATGATTGTTGGAAAAATGTTCTAACATTTTACTTTCATTTCTAACCCTGACCTTCGCCTGGGCGAAATGAACGTGTGTCTGGATCCACGCCTGGGTGGTATCTTTGAGGGTTTTTTGGCAGATTGGATATCATGAGATTTCTGCCCTCTTATTGATCCTCAACAATTTGGTATAAACTCAAAGGGGTGATCATTAACACATTATTAGTCCAACTTGGCCATCATATCTTGTTGGTTACAGACAAACCTGGAATGTGTGCATCAATCTATACTGCCGACTTAGTAAAGCTTGTGATTGTGTTAATCACTCCATCTTGATTAATAAATTGATTGATTTACAACACATTTCACTTCTTATAATTCCCACTGTGTGTAGTTTCCCATCTAAAAGACTCAATGTGAGCGTTTGGGTGGGGCAATTTCTATTTCTGAGTCAAAATAGTCAAAATGTTTAATTCACAAACTTATTTTTTTAAACATTGTCAGAGGGCGAAAAAAAAAAAAAATTTGGTTTCTTATTCAGCAAGTAGTTTTGCCAAAAAAAAGGAGAAAATAAAAACAAATTTTTATTGGTGAATGTAAACAGTGATCATATCACTCCTGTACTCCAGGCCTTCATTGGTTACCTATCCATTTCAGGTTAAAATACAAGATTTAGCTCCTTGTTTATAAGGCATGCATGCATGGTTCTCCCAAATATCTTGCCCACCTTCTCAATCCTTACCGTCTGTGCGGCAAGGTCTTAGATTTGCTGATAAGTGCCTATCTACTCCTATGTGTAAGACCCTTTGGAGTGCTCGTTTATTTTCTGTGGTTGACCCCTCTTGTTGGAATGAGGTCCCACTTATCACTCATATTCTGAATCGGTTGGGCATTTCAAATCTTAACTTTAAACTTTCCATTTCAGTTCTCAATTTTTATTAGTTTTTTTTTGTTTTCTTCTTTGTTCATTGTCCCTTTCTGCTTTTTGTTGGGATTACATACGTCGTAATTTTGAGGCACCGGCGCCACGAGCATCTCCAAATCATGGATGATAGATACGTGCACCTGATTAATCTCTGATCGATTGATTGATTGACTATGACAAGCTTTTATTAGCAAAAAAAATAATGTACTGCTGGAAATGATTCAAAAATGAGCTTGCAAGATTCCCCTTGGCTACCAAAACTATTGCAGTTTCACTAACAATTCTCCAGTTAATGCTACTTAGCGCTTAACGATCTGCCATTCTATTTAATTTTGGTAAGGGCTTGGTCTCCAATGTTGCCAAAAGATCACAACCTCTTTTATCTGTCTATTTAATAACATGAATAAGAATTACCACTCAAACTTTGGGCTCAAAATTAACCCTGGCCATCAGGCACAAGCTTGGTGGTCAAGAGAATTTATGCCAGGCTAGTGATCTGCAGATTGTGGGTTTGAGTCTCACCCGAGAACAACTTACAGTATGATTTCATTTGCATATGTTTTCACATGTACTGAGTATTCAGTAAATGTTCAAGTCAGGTTGAGCAAAAAATTACACTAATGTAAATAATTTTAAAATTTAATTACAATTGTACACAAATTGAATTGCTTGCCTGTAATAACCGAAAGGTCCACTGATTTATCTCAGATAATACAATAATACATACTCCAAGTATTGAAATGCACACCATCGTGTTGGGATTCAATATTTCGACATTAATTATGTCATCATCGGGAATGTTGAATCCTAACACGATGGCGTGCATTTCAATACTTGGAGTATGTATTATACTTTCTTGCCTGTAATAAATTTTATGTTATGTTTTCTGGTGTAATTAATATATTGCAAGTCGTATTTATAATTGTTTTAAAAGTTGATGTTTTAGTTTCGGCATAAATTTATTTTGTTTCATGTCTTGTATTTTTTCAGATATTAATTAGCCAAAATTCAGATATTTTTCAACATTTATATGTTGCGGATTCAGAGTGTGTTTTTCATACAAATAAATAAAAATGAAATAACAAAAAACAACAGACACTAACATGACAGGAATTAAACTGGATTATGTCAGAATAAAATTGGTACATATGTACCAACAAATATTTAATTACCGCCTGCTCTATAGAGCCATAATGTCTTTTAATACCGTTACAAAAACATTTAAAAACTTACCTTGACCTGATGTAAAACAACTTGGTTCAATAGAATGTGAATGAGTGTAATATTCTTTTTCACATTCTTTTTCTTTCACCAATACTTCATCCTTTACATAACACTTTTTCTTGACAAACATGTTTGCTACATAGTGTCTTAGGTCACCTATATCAAATATGAAAAAATACCATTTGCTATGCCTTCTAAATAACAAGAAAGAAATCTTGCAAACTCAAATAACAACCAACCAGGGATTTCATATAAAAGCCAGAATCATGGCCACATTGTTGGGGCCAAATGTAGAGCTCTTTTAATAATATTTATTTGGCAAATTAAAAATAAAATCTTGCTAGGAGCAAGAAATAGAAATGAACACATGAGATGAGCAAGGCATCAGTGGCAGTGAACTGTCTTGCTTTACTGCCTACTTAAGAGATAGAAAACAAGCAGTTAAGATAGGAAGTAGCCTTTCTCGTTTTAAGTCAATTAATATATTAATTATTATATATTAATTTAGGGCCCTTTGTTATTCATTATTTATGTAAATAGCCTTTCACAATGTGTAACCTGTAAAACTGTTATGTATGCAGATGATACTACTTTGCTTTTTCGTTCACTTGATCCTGTTTCTCTCCAAAAAGATTTAGACACTAACTTAAATAATATTACAAAATGGTTTTATAACAATAAGTTAACATTAAATATTAATAAAACTAAGTTTATGCTTTTTGGTACACCCATGAAACTTGACAGATTTAGCAATGTCACATTAATGCATAAAAACTATATTATTGAAAAAGTTGATCAATTCAAATATCTTGGTATTGTTTTTGGCAGTCGTTAGAATTGGAATCATCATATTGAGTATCTTTCTTCTAAAAATTGCAAAACGTTGTGGTATTAATCGCCGTGTTAAAGTTTACTTACCAAATTAATAATTAATAATTTTGATTATTGTAGTCAAATTTGGACAAACTGTAATAACACTCTTAAGTCAAAGATGCAAAGGCAGCAAAATCGATTTGCAAGAATTTTAATATCAGCCGATATTAGAACTCCAGTGGATGATATGATGATTACTCTTCATTGGATTAAACTAAATGATCGATGGACAAACCAGATTTTACTTACAGTGTTTAAATGTTTAAATGGTAATGCCCCTGAATATCTGTCTTCTAAATTCACCTTCACCCACACTGTTCATTCCTCCCCTGGGAATCAAATATCAAATACTCTAGTTGTTCCACATGCAAATTCAAACTGTGGTGAGCGTACAGTACTTATTATAACAGAGCAGCTCATCTTTGGAACAATCTTTCTCACAACATTCGTAACAATTTTGATTCTCTTTCTATTAATATGTTTAAAAAAGAGGCCTTTATCTGTATTTAGTAAGACTGTACCTTTTTTATTTTGAGTTGGTAGTTTTCATTTGTCTGCCTTCTTTTCAATTTTAGGCTATCTTGTTGTTTTTGATTTACTTTTAGTTACTTTTGAATTTCATGATTGCAAATTTGTTTTGATATATTCACTGTATGTACCAGGGCTTCCTTGAAAAGCAGTGCTAGTCACTGAATGGATACCCCCTAGTTAAAGAAAGCTTAAATAAATAAACACAAACATCATCAAAAACAATAGACATGTTGAAAAAAGAAACATTAACATTTTGGTTGCAGCCAGTGGCGGCAACAGTGGGGATGGGGAAGGGGGATAGTCGGCCCTTTTGTTTGGATCCGCTGTCGGCCATGCTGGACCTCTTGCCTGGAGCCACAGCTGGTCAGAGCTTTTCTGTTAAATTTAAAGGCAGAGACAATTGTCATGTATCAAAGATGGTTTTAAATTAAATTGTATAAATGTACTTTATGAAACTGGGAACAAAAATAAAAAGAGAGATAAAAAGTTGATGAATTTAGATGAAAGTACCAACACATAACTGTATTTGATTTTGGTGGTACAATCAAAGACAAGATCTATAGTACAAAAATTGTTTCCTGGAGGATTTTTATTTAGTGTGCTTTTTTGCTGATTGACTTTGCTTTTTTCACAGCTGAGTGGGTTTGAGCAAGGACTGTACTTAATACTACAATTCCCACTTCTGTCCACGTCCAATGAGGATGGCGTGGTCGGTTTAACTGTGCCATCCTTGCTGCGGTGAAACCAAAACCAAAGGCTGTGAGTTTGAATCGTGTCTTGTATTGTAATTTTCTTTTTAATTTTAATATATATTTTTTTTTTCAATTTAATGATATTTTAATTGTGTACAAATTATACGTGTCCTGTTAGTGGTAGTAATTAATGGCGGTTATGAACCCGGGCCGAAAACCCAATATAATAATAATAATATACACCACCGTGTACAGTATTCAGGCATGGAGAAAATTTCTTCAATGATTTAAGCATGATTTAATATGCTCTACTGCCTCTATTTTTATACTGCCCACATTGGAGCTTTCAAGATTACAAGAACTTGTTAGAGTTTATATTAACCCTATATATTTTGTGTACATCCTGTAAGTGTTGATTTTTTGCTGTAGTCTTTGAAATAAATAAATATGCAGAACAGTGTGCGCAACTTTGTGTTGACTATTGTGTTATGAACACGTCTGGTTTGATTCAACTGCATCTGCGCGCAGAATTCTATATTAACATTTAAATAAAAGCTCATTTGTGTTGGTGTTCAGATTTGTGTTGAGACAACAATTTTTACTTCATAACTAATTTTACTTAATAATTAGATACAGTGATGATAATCATAATGAACAAAATGTTTGATTATTGAAATGAATGATTATTCTTTGTGAGGATTTGAGGGTGTCACGTCCCTAGCAGAAAAGCAGTTCACTGTTTGTCCTCGCCTAAAGGTTTGGTTTATAGAACCAAGTGTTCTCAAATAAGAAAAGTGGTCCAGAGTACACATATGGCTTGTGAGCAACATAGAACCAATTGCATTTTTTGGAAGGCTTACCATAATGCTCTGGTTCATTCAGAACCTGTCATCGGGAAACGATGTAAAAAATTTTGCTAAATATAGTCATGGACCATGCAATTAAGAACAATGTTGATTTTATTGTTAAATTATTTCATTGCGATTGAGCATGAAATATACACAAAACAAACAAATATTACTGTGAATTAGTTGTTTTCCTACCTTTACCAATCTACCTACAATTCCTTTATGATAACAATATTATCACATTATAAAAGAGGTGTTACCTGGGGTCTAGGTATGCCAGCAACTGCACACTGAAGAATTGCTGCAGAGTCTCCTTCTACAGCAATTAACTTTGTTTCAAGTTCCTTAGTGAAGTATGGAGCACATTCTTCTACTTCTGGGATTACTGACAGTTCAGAGACCTCTGATATTGGGGCTTTTTCGTCCTGTTACATAAAAAATAAAGAATAAAAATAAACATCTTAGCGTATGCTTTATACTCTGCCAGGATTGGTTGGATATTACAGCCCAAATAAAGTTTCCAACTTAGTATTTGACAAGTTAAAGTAGGACCCCATTGAAAATACTCCTTTTACTCCTCCATCATCTTTTGTTGCTATTTGTTTGTCCTGTCATGTGTGATTGTATTTGTTTTGTGGATATTTTGATGATGTGAAATAAACTGAACTGAACTGGCCAAGTAAATAGTTCCTCTGCTATGTAGTTTTATCTTGGCAAGTGATGTTTGAATAGATTGTCCTGTATGTCTATTAATTCTGTAGGTTGATGATAGAGTGCCTCATCTATATGTCTTTACCTAGGGATTTTTAATTTTTACCAAAAATATTTTGTATTTTATACTTAGTTCAACTGAATGAGTTATACTCTATTTGTGTTTTCCAAGATTTTCAAAAAAATTATCTATTATATGATATATTCTGTATAAAGCAATTTGTAAATTATTCAACTTCTTTTGTTTAGCTGATCTTATTATTAAGACAGTTCTGATGATGACTACTATGAAAATTTAGTTGTGCTTCAATTTCAACAATAATGTATTTAGTTGTTTGTGTCTGATAAATTGTGCAAGTCCCAAAATATTAGCATATGGTCTCACCTTTCCTTTTAGCTTACTTAGTGCAGCTTTGTATTCAGTTTCATCGATGCATGTCATCCATTCATCTAAGAACTCCTGCTGATGTTTCTCTGGGACTAATATTCCCGCTAAATCTTTAATAAGCTTCCCACTAGAATGTACTTCCCACAGATTCATCAAAGCATTAGGATCATTTGCTATTAGATAAAATACTATTGATCCTTTACCGACCTTGGTCAATTTTAAACCATAACGTTCATAATAGATGATGAGGTTCTCAAATTTTTCATAAAATTCTGGTACATCCTTTAAAGTTAGGCAGTCTTTATGTTCATCAAGGTCATTTAACAAATCAAGAGCATACTTTCGATACGGTTGACCATCAGAGTCAGAAGGACCTCTTTTGCGCTTGCAAATTGTCACAGCAATACCTTTAAAATAGAAAAAAAAAAGATAAGTAAAGAAATCTTCAAAATGTTATTCATATAATAGTCATTAATAAATCCAGCATCCACTTAAAATGGTCAGCTACCTTCATAACAAAAATCAGGGATCGGGGAGAGAGACCACAATTTTGTTGGAGAAAAAAAAAATATATGTTTTTTCTACATATTAGTAGACTTTAAAATCGATTAAATAAGCCTTTAAACCCCTAAATTATCAACATTTTATCGGGGCTTTGTCACCTGGACCACTTTCGAAACCTTTTAAGCAACGCTAGACCAAGCCCGCTTTGCTCTTACCCCCTCATTCAGGATATCTGCCCCCACCCCGCCGGAAACCTCGGCCGCTCATCAGCCAAATCCTGGCACCACCCCTGGGGACAAGATCTCTAAAGCAAACCTGATCACTATTGCATTAGTATGAGATCCTCAACTACCCGACCCTACTTCACATGAATACAATATTGTCACTGGGGTCACAGTAACACAATGTTTATGATGTGTGTGTGCTTATATAGGCTTGCCGGTAAAGTGTAAACAAATTTATGACCATTAATTTCAAAGTGATATATGTGAAAACAGTTTGGTGTAGTGGTTAGAAGAGTGCATTCCACTCTACTCAATGAGTTCTTTTGGGCTTTTTTCAATGGGGACAATATGCGCAGGAAATTTATACTAAGGAGAATTATGATGTGGGCAGAGGTATGCACAATCCGAGTGCCCTCTAGTTTTTCCTCTTTCTGATTATTGTTGTTGTGTCTGGTCCTATTTGGAATGTTCAAAAGTTCTTACTTTCTGCTGAATGTATTTTAAGTGCCCTTGGATGGAGTAGACTAAATGTGATTTGGAATGAAAAAAATACTTATTATGACTTTTAAATGCATAAAAGGATATGCTCCTCAATATTTGTCTTCAAAATTTTAATACCTTTAACAATATTATCCATTCTAAAGGTAGATGTAGCCAAACCCACAACAACCTGGTTCTTCCAATGTATCATATCGGGCAGGGAAAAAGAACATTTTTATATCGATTATCCAAAAGCTGGAATGAACTACCACAAAAATTAAAAATTAATTTCAAAGAGATGTCAACTTTTTTTTATTTCAAAATCATTTAAAATAATGTTTTTAAATTTCATTTTATTTTATTCATTGTACTTTTTTTTAAATTTTCAAATAATTTAAAATAATGTTTTTAAATTTTATTTTACTTTATTAATTGTTATTACACAGTATACAGTATATGTTTCTCCTCACTGTACCACTTTGAAAATCAGTACTATAGCACTGAAAGTGCCTACAGTATAAAGAAAGGTTAAATAAATAAATACATATTAAATGCTTATAATTCGATGGAGTAATAAACCCTAACAAAATCAACCTTGGAAATAAAAAAATTGTGACATTTTGCTTTAAATAAGGGATCAGAAATAGGGTGTCTTTTGTAAACTATGAATTATCAAATTACCAATTTGCCTTTACTGTTTACTTTGTTCAATTTTGCAACTTTCAGACAAAGATATTTGAAATTACATTATATTATTATTGTGTATTCCTTTTTGAAAAGTACTTTTACCAATGATCGGTGGGGAGTAACAACAGTAGGTTTTCAAGCCAATGACGACAGGTGGCGTTTGCAATTACCAAGGGGCCGCACTCTTTCCACCTGTGGTCTACTTCATCATAATTACTGACACTACATTATTCTGGTTTTATTTAAACACTTCAATATTATGGCAGCATAATGTGAATTGCAAAAAATACCTAGTCAAAAAGTTAATTAACAATTAAATTTAATTGAGATTTAATTATAAGAAACACTTATAAAAAATTTTTAACTTTTGACTATATAATTACAAACCACATTTAAGGTCAAACAATTTACGAGGTGTTATAGCTAAAAAAGGAAATTTTAAAGTAATTAGATTGCCTAATTGCAAAAGGTAAAATTGTGAAGATTAATTTATCATTGAAAGAGGTTCCACTTGAAAATAACTAAGTGTTCATTATCAACTGTTAAACATATTACAGTAGGTGTACATTTTTTCTTGATAAGATAAATTGGAATGATTCGAATTTTTCCAATGAATTATAGACCTATTTAACAACTTTTGTTGGACATACTACAGCAGCGTTCCCCAAAATTATTAGACTGACGACCCAGTTATGAAATTCAGACCATGGCTCGACCCACTGACTTCTTTTATGCACAAGTAGAAAAGCACTATACCATGCTTATGTTGAGCATCATATGAGTTCATTTCAGTGTATTTTAGAATTATTATATAATTGTTCTGAAGCTAAATTGTGTCTCAATAAATTGTAATTAATTATTAATAAAATATTCTGTCATACTGTCTTGTATTGCATGATTGTGTTTGTACAATGTATGATTAGTATTCCAACATAGTGATAGCAATGGTGATAGTTATAATTGAAATGGCTTCATTGACCGTTTGATCCTGTCCATCACAATTGACACACTGTGGCTTGTCTCCATTTGCTACAAACCCCCATGCTAGGTAGGCCTATTCCTTCTTGTATTTTCTTGACATGATTTTGACTTCAGTAGCTTAGCGATTAGAAAAGACAAAATATAAAGTTATCTAAACATGCTTCACAGGGAATCCCCACAACTCACACAAACCCATGTGAACTCAATCGCCGCTCACGTAGATTGATTCGTAGGCACACACATCGGAAGTTTGGTTACAGCGCGCAGAGCTAGTTAGCTTTGATGTCACAACATCAAAGCGGAAAACTTGGTGTGAAGATATGTGCATTCATCAAGTTTAGTCATGGTCTTAGTTGTGAGGTGACTTTTCGATGAAATGTATCACAATATAAAGTGGTCTCTACAAGTTAGGGCCTAGCTAAAATTTTGTGATTTCTGTCAATGGGCGTATTCGACTGCCTCATTTCGTTGACTACGAATTTTCGTTGAGTATTATTTTCATTCGACTGGTTCATAGAATAGACTTCGTTGACAACGAAAATTAACGTAAACCAGAGTACGTTAAGTTATTCAAAACAAACATGGCCGATTGGTCAGTTTAGAAACGACGTTTGCGTTAATATAATTTAGATTAAATTTTAGAAAATATTAAATAGAAAATTATAATAATTACACACATGAAGTCAAAAAATAATTCCAAAACTGGATGAAAATATTTTTTTTTAATGAAAAACCCATACTGCCACAAGCTGAAGCAATCTTGATTACACAGCGTGTATGGCGATAACTATGCAGCTATTTTGTTTTGTCGAGTATTTACAAGTTTTCTATTTGACTGGTCGTCTTCGTTAAGTAGATTTTACCGCTGTGCAGATGGGCGTGGTTTAAAGAAGAACGACCAGTCGAACACGGCCATTGTCTCGTGACCGACTAAGATATTTCGGCAATCACATTGGTGGGTCGTGACCCACAGTTTGCGGAACGCTGTACTACAGTATAAATTTTAATTGTTTTGTTGTTTGTTTTATTTCAACTTTACGTCTTCATATGTATATCTTTACCTTCACCACATCCAGATTCAATGTTTGAAGTTGCATTTGGAATGTCTGTAAATAGAAAGTCAAATGAATATAAAACAATACAAATTCTAAAAATTAGTAGAGTAGACAATTCAAAAGCAAATGGTACCACCACTGGTGCTAGAAAGCACTGCAGTGCCCAAAATCTATTACAAAAACTTAACATATTGATTTAAATTATTGTATATTTTCAGATAATATTTCAGCCGTTTCAAGATTCTTTCCTATTTTTTCTTCTTCCTGGTCAAATTATTTTATTGATAATATACTATAAATTAATAAACATAGGGCCAAATAAATAAAACTAGGTTTAAAGAAACTGACTTTAACATGGTATGCAATGTATACTCAGTTTAACACTTCAATATTAGTGTATTCAAAACCGAAGCTCCCTGGTCTCATGTCAAACTAGGCTACTCCAGAGAGACTCTCTTTATAGAAAGGCAGAAAAGCTTCTACAAATGGATGTCTTGCTGTGAAGCAGGAAATCAAGTTGTCCCTCCCCAGTACTGCTTGATTATAAACCATTGATAAAATCGGGAAAAAAAGTAGAAAACTGGGTAAAGACAAATTAAAGCCAATGGTGTCACCACTAGCGGACAGGGAAGCAGATCCTCAACAAGGTTTGGAGGACAGTCATCAAAACTTTTATTCACTCCTTTGGAATCTTTAACTTAGATGAGTCATTAATCTGTCTATAAAATAACTTTACCAATACTAAAAATAGTAGATGGGTCTATTGATGATCAGTAAAACATGCATTTCTACCCATATGGTTCCTTTCTATTCAAGGTATCAGGTATAATATGTTAAGTACTGTACAGAGTAAATGTTTAATAACATCTTACAACATACTTGATTACCTTGGATTATAGAAACAAAACAATAAATGTTTTGTCTTTACATATTTTTAATTTTCTGTATTTAAATCTTATATGGTTTAATCATTCTTAACATTGCAATGCAATGAATGTATTCTATTTTCCCTAGAATTTCCAAATGAAAAATAATGTAAATCTTGAATTGACAGAATTCAGATCAACCACAATACAATAATAAAAGTAAGAATTGTAAAAAAAGGAAAAAGGAAGACCTGAGAAGACAAGTGAATAAATCTTGTGTCGTGACAGCATAACAAAAAAGAAATAATAGAAAAAAAAAGAACAAGACGAGAAAACACATAAACCAACAGAAAACCTTTTTTTCAAGTTTCATAAAAAATCTTTAAAAAAACTCTCCAAACTTTCAATAATGTTTCAACCATGTGCGCAGATCCTGGGGGGATGGGGACACGTTTCCCCACATATTTTTGAGGGGGGTTGGTCCCCCACATTTCACCTCAATGTAATTTCATGAACTGCATAAATGACCCAGGTTTTAACGAAAAAGCGCAGCACAGCCTGAGAACATTACTGTACATCCTACATTACAGCAAGATACCGGTATCACTAACGTCTGAATTACCTATAATACATGACTCAAGTGTGCATGCTTTTGTTATAATTTGAGAAGTATGAGAAAAGTATAAGATTTTCAGCACACAAAGAAGGTAAAGTACAGTAAATATGATAGGATGCAATACAGAATAATTAGATCACTATGACATCCAAAAATCGCTGATAAAAGATCATGAGAAATTTGTTGGCACTTCATTTTGACTATAATGGTGATGTGATGATTACAAATTTTATTACATAAGAGTGTCATTTCCAGCCCTCTAGAGGTACTATTTCCCCAGATTTTCGCACCTCATTCCCAACCATGGTGGGGCTGAGATGGGTGTGACTCCTTGCAGTAGGTAAAGTAAAGTAAATACATCAAAGACAATGTTTTTAACTTTTATTTTCTGTGCTGGGGCAGCATCAGGGGGATGCATACAGTGTGATCACACCCCTAAATTGTACAAGAAAAATAATTTTTGTATTGTATTGTTGATATATTATTTTCATCATTATGAACATAGTACAGGTAGGAGTGCAAATTCTGGGTACCTAGGTTCATATTTTCAAAATTTTCCCACCTCAGCTCCAACCCTGGTAGGGCATGATATTATTTAATGTTTTATAATTTTCTTGGTCAGTCACGACTCTTTACACCCCTCAGAATTTTTGACAACCCAAAAGTTTGTCACAACCCTGATATTGAATCCAATCCAAGCTAGTAGTAAGTGCAATACTGTACTGTTAACATAAACATATTATAAGACACCAATGTAATGATTATCTTACCATTAGTTGTTTGTCCTGAGTTAAAAGATGGCTCTGCCATTGGAATGCCTGAAATATAAAAATGGATTGCCAGTACATTTAATATCCATTTATTTATTATTTACCATAATTAAAAACTGGACTTATACATGAGATGCATAATTATGTTTACAGTAGAAAAGCACTTTGGATGTGTTATAGAAATTCTAAAAAATATATATAATTTTTGTTTTAAATACAAATATAATTCATAAAATAGAATATTTACTTGAAACTGTTCAAAATCTTGCAAGTCAGATGGAATCATTTCCATCAAGAGATGGGGCTGACTCATTGCTTTTCACAATAAAAATAAGCATGTAAAGCACATGGCAAATCTACTCAAGTCTTAATCATTTATTTTCATTTCAATTTAAAATAACATATATTTACTTTAAAACATAAATCAAAATCTTCTTTAAATGTTATTTATAGCAAAATAATTAAAGATTTCTCTTCTGCAGTAACTGCTAATTAATGAAAAATAGGACAAACAGAGGTAACCAACACAGGGTCATATACTAAGATATAAAACAGAAGGTTTTTGTAATGTCATACAGTATCTCAGTCTGAAATAAACTTTTGTTCAGAATATATTATATTTTCATTGTAATCCATCCTTTGGTTTTAGAGGCTTTACTGTTAAGCTTTGTCTACACTATCAAATTTTGTGTGACAAAAAAATGTGATGTCATATCACATATCAAAATGTATTAAAAAAAAGTGTTCAACTCTTATGTTCCATCACATTTTATGTGATGCTTTTTGATGAAATTTGATAGTGTAGACAAAGCTTTAAGTTCAATACGTTTTTCAGCATTAAAGTGAATTTATCAATATTCATTCAATTTGAAATAAAGAAAAGAAATACCTTCTGTTAGAGCTTTCACAGCTTGGCAGAGTTTATGTTTCTTCAACTTTTCAATGAATGCTGTCATGTTCTCTTCACAAATGACCAGGTTATGTTCTAGATCCATAATCAAACTCCACCTATCTGTATGTTTTACATCATAAAGTTCACTAATCTTTTGTACATCACTTGGAGTGAGCGCCATTCCCAGCTTTACAAGTCTTTGCCGATGTGGTGTGAATTTTGTAATAACACCATCCCGGATATTTTTGGGAATTGTGAATAATGGCAATTGAGTGTGAATTTCTTGTTCCAGACCAAATTTCTCTGTTGCCTTAATAGTATCATAGAGGAGAGTGAGATTATTTGGACTCAGATTTCCAGAACTAATCAACATATCAATTAATTCTATTGTCTTAGAAGACTCATGTAATGCAAAAGTATCTTTTACATGGTCCCTGTACAATACTTTCAGCATATTGATAGATATGTGTTTGTCACACCAATTTGACACAAGCAACTTAAGTTCTGCAAAACCTGCATCACAAAAAAAATGTACAGTATTAATATCAAAAATTGATATGGAAATTGTTTGGACACAATTAAAGTATATATTGTAGAATTTCTTGATCACAAAAACAGCAAAAGCAGTAGTGTAAAAAAAAAGGTCAGAGATGCTTGCTAAGGATTCTTTGGGCACCAATCCTGTGTAAAGAAAGCCTGGCTGGCTTTGATAAATTTGATGTTTTTAAAATAAGTATTTTGAATGGTTTTATCAGGAACAAACTCGGCCAATTTATGGGGGTAAAAATGCTGATAAATATCCCAGGATCCTTTACGGCCTAGTGCCCTGGTTTTAGCCAGTGAAATGTCTTTTAGGTGGTCCTACAAAACACCAGCGGGGAACACCAGGGTTTAATACAGTACTAAATCTTACCACTGGGAAAATAGGTAATTTGCTTTTAGCTACTTATTGAATAAAACTTAATTTCTAAGCCCAAAATCTTTCAAAAGTTGTTAAAAATATTATTACACACAGGTGCAGGTTGTTTGTTCTGTGACAAAATATAGAGGCTGTAAACGTTGCCTTTAGAACACAGTCCAAAATCACAAGTAAAAAGTCAAGGAACGAACGTTTTCTCATCAAATGCATTTATTTGATATAGAAATTCATGGTGAACCAAGCAGGATTTTCAAGATGGAGACTAGTAGTAGATTTTAGAAACTAATTTTTACTCTTTAATAAGCTACTAAAAGTAAGATCAAATGCTCTCACTTGAACTGCATCACGCCCCAGTGGGGTTTAGTATTTTGAGTTTACCTTTACTTATATCCATGTTCACTGTCATTGGTACAGCTACTGCTTCAATTTAATCCTTTTAGTCATTCCTGAAATAAACAAGAATCCTCATTCATAATATAATTAAAAGGGCAGAAATAGTGAAAAATTGCAAGCTCATTACTCGTCCTGTCCAGCTGTATGATTCCAAAACTTTTGGCTTTTATTTTTTTTTTTTGTGGAATTTTCTTGCTTTTCTTTATTTTTTTCATCCATAGTCTTTATATGTATTTTATAAATTTGTAAACTTTTCATTATTTTTTTTAACTGCCACTTGAAGCATTGAAATAAATAAATTTGTATATAGTTGCAGTGTAATGTTGTTCTCCAGTAGTAACTATACACATGAGCTGCAAGCTGGGTATTTTAAAGTGTACATTCATTAATTCTACAGTCTATGGAATGACTACTTAGTGAGTGTCAATATGTTCATATAAACTTGAGGCCAGAAGGGCAATGAGAATAATTTTCCAAATATTTAGCTAACACAAGTATTATGAGGCCTAAATTTACTTGGAAAATCAACAAATTAAAGAAGTTTCCTTCATAATTGCTCTATGAAAATGTCAGAAAAATTCATTTATGAAAACAAAACAATTTTTCCAAATATACACATTATACACATTTAAACTTTTAATTTACTTTGACTCTTCAAGTGTAACAGTAGGGCAACGACCAGTCGTGTGGCCCAGGGGTGAGAAAGTGTTGGGGTCTCATGCATTTCAGTAAAATATTCACTCAAAATGTGTTGTGTAAGTAGCCAAAGGGACAGTATTTTTAAGAGAATCCCATTATGAATATTAAGGCTAAAAAGACCGCAATAGAAATTGTCTACTAAACCATAATCAACTTTTATTTTCACACGCATTTAAGTAATATAACATTCTGTTCATACGTACGTTTAATTTTAAAAATTCTTAAATTGATTACCAGCCAATTTATGGAAAATAAAAGTTATCATTCAACTGCCCAGACAGTCATTCAACTGCCCAGAGATTACAAACGAATGAATTTGTTGGTAGTGATATATTTGGTTTCAATTTTGAATTAAATATTAGCTGGTTAGATAAAGTCCTACCTAGCTCATTTGATGGTGGTTCAGACATGTGCAGAATACATTCAAATAAATACAGTAACAAAATACCAATCAATAAGGTGACTTTTATAAACTATAGGCTGATAATTAAGAACTAGGCCAACTTAGGCCTAGCCAGCCTTTTGTGTACTGCACATGATCATGAGTGATTTCATTAATTTAGTAATGTAGGCCTTACAGTAATACTACCAATCTCAATTTCTCAAGCTAGTATAGTAAAATGCATAGTAACCAAGTATTCAAATATCCGATGTAGTATATACAAAATTTCCGTAGCACCTAATAATTTTGTCTTGAGTGCAAAATATGGGTAGCAGGTGCAGGATAATGACAGCTGTGGAATTTCAAACAAACAGGACCCGGATGAAGATTTACAGGCCACTTCTTTGTTTTTACAATAATTTAAATAATTAATCAGTAATTCAAGTGTGGATCAAATTTAGGAGGGGGTCAAGATGTTCATACCACCCCATGCCCAACCAGAAAAAAGGAGGGTCCTCTCCGGGAAACTGTTGATTCCTAGATGGCAGGAAATTAGCTTCCCGACTACTGAAGTGTCTTTTAATGACTTTTAATTTCTTCAAAATTCAAGGTCTTATTCCCTTTTGAAAACTGTCAGGTAAATTTTTCTCATTCTTATTACAGTATAGGCCTACAGGTACAATATGTTTGTACAGTATACACATAAAAGAATAGAATAGTTGCATATTCTTCTGTTCCATGAATCGATGTAAAATAAATCTTTACCAATATCTCATATTGATCCCTTTACAGTTCCTACCAGTCTCGCCTATTAAATTCATTTTGTTATCAATCCCGTCACTGAATCTGAAGTATTTTCAGTTATTCATGATATTGATTCTAAAAAAGGTGTTGGGCATGACCACTTATCCCCTAGGACCTTCCAACTTGTATCTCCAATCATTATAAAACAACTAACTTTCGCCATCAACTCATCATTTCAATCCGGTACAGTACCAAATACCTTAAAATTGGCCAAAGTTATTCCTGTGTTTAAGAAAGGCGACGATGATAAACTATCAAATTATAGACTTATATCCATACTACCAATCTTTCCTATACTAGAAAAACTTATGCACAGAATACTTTTTAACTACCTTAATCAATATTGAACATCAATATGGGTTTCGTCAAAATCACTCAACCTGTCATGCAATACTTGAACTTTTTAATAACATTATTGAATCATTTGAAAATAAACAATTTTAATTAAGCTTATTTTTAGACTTATCATAAACTTCTGATGTTGTTAACCACAAAATTTTACTCTCTGAAATTTTCCGTTATGGTATCAGAGGCATTTCTTTAGAATGGTTTAAAAGTTATTTAATTTTTAAATTGCAAACAATTTGTTTCTGTTGGATCATGTAGATCGTTGACGAGGGATATTATAACTTGTAGGGTGCCTCAAGTGTGGTCTTGGGGCCGTTACTTTTTTTAATATGTCAATGACTTGACTAGAATTAGTGACACCCTTCAGGTTGTGTATTTCACTGACGATACAAATTTTTTTTATTCAAATAAAGACTTTTAATGTTTTGTTCAATACGTTTAATAATGACTTAAAAAGTATTGGTTCTTCTGCAGCATTATTTTAAATAAAAATGTTATATATCATAAATCTAATACGTTGTTTTTAGGATTATTTATCAAAGAAAATTTAAGTTGGAAATTAAACTAACATTATGTGGCAAATAAAATTTCCAAATCAATAGGAATAATCAATAGGCTTAATAAACTTTTCCGATTTCTGAAGTGTCTTTTAATGACATTTAATTAAGTCATTAAAAGTTTAGGTTTCCTCCTCTTGAAAACAATTCAATGAATTATTATTATGAACCCCAAAGAGAAAGGGCGAAAATTTTTATTCCTAGATGGTGGGAAATTGTTTTCCCCTCTTAAAAAAGGCCAGCTAAATTTTTCTCATTTTTATTATAAATAGGCCTATTAGGTGTGTGTATACATAAAAAAAATTTCAGTAGTTGCATACATATTCTTTTTTCCATAAATTCAAGCCCGAAAAAAAAGTGGTTGGGGGCCCTCCCCCAGGAAAAATGAGCTTTCCCGACTTCTAATTTTCCCATTGTAACAACAAAATTTCAGCTCAGGAGTCCTTAAAAGGTACCGTATTGTCTAGATTTTTTTTTTTTTTTTTTGGGTGGGGGGAATTTTATTTTGTCCTTTGCCCTAGGGGGCCCACAAATGTGAAAATGCCCACAAATGTAATAACCCACCACCCACAAATGTAATAATGCCCACAAATGTAACAACCAGTACCCACAAATGTAATAACGATCATCGCCCACAAATGTGATAACGCCCACAAATTGTACAGGAAATACAATCCATGACCTATTCGCCCACAAATGTAATAATTTTCTTTTAAATTCAAATGTAGGAGATATTAGACCTAAAAAATGGCCAAACCATGCATTTTGTGACAGACGCATGACATTTTGTCTGTAATTGCGGTAAGCAAAATTTCTGTAGCAAATACAGGGAAGTTCTGCAGTACTTGAAAAGTATGTAATCTCCATCAAAATATTCAACTAGGCCTATAGATTTTAGATCCGGTTTGCCTTTTTTAGTTCTGGCTTTAAAAAAACAAAACAAAACAAAACAAAAAACAAAACAAAAAAACTTTCATGGAAGATAAACAGAATAGAATTTTGATGAGAGTGAAATATTTATTTGGTTTTAATTTCAATTTTTACTTCAAATCAACTGATACCAAGTCCATTTTGTGATAGTGGTTACAGGCCACAGCATATTGGTAGGTAGCCCTGCATGTTATTATACGGCCTACCTGTTCTCTAATATAGTAATAAACAGCAACAATACATCTATCAATAACGCAAGTTGACTATTATATAGTATAGGTTAATAGCTAGGCGTGACCGGTTACTAGCATAGCAGTATAGATAGTAGTAGTAGTGTATAGATAGGGCCAGCTGGCTTACATCAATCTCAACCTAGGCTAGGCTACAAACAATGATCTGGCCGGAAACAATCCAGGTGTTTGGCAGGGACCGACCGCGACAATTGGTCTAGTCTAGCCAGGGAGTTGTAACAACTCCCTGGTCTAGCCTAGCTAGAGGCCTAGGTAGGCATGGAGTTATTATTTTGAGAACTTAATGGGCTAGGAGGTACACCTAGGCTTGTCCTGGACCTAGTTCCTAGCCATAGCCAGCCTAGTTAGGGCCTAACTAGTCTAGGCCTATAGAATTTAGCATTCTACATTAGGCCTACCATATATTTCCAGGCAGGTGCTATTGATCTTGACTCCTCTTCTATTTAATTTGTAACATGGCCGTCTCTGGCAGTGTAGGGGATTCCCCAAACATGATGACGTAAGTTCTTGAACGTTCGGCCGGCGCAAGCGCGTTTTATACAACAGCCCATTCGTGCCGAATCTGTGTCAGCGAAATTTCGAATTACTAATTCGTAATTTCCGATTTAGTAGGCATAATTCGTAATCTCGAATCTGTGGACGCTAATGCTCGATTAAACGCTGCACCAAATGTGTTTTTTTTTTCGTATGAAATCAGTTGTCTTCAATGTTAACAAAATGTATTTATTTATTTAAAGTACAGTACCACTTAAAGTAAACAAACTTTATTGAAATACCTCAACATACTGTATTGTTAGTCATATTCATAAACTTGAGTATTTAGTTCATACTTCAATTAAATTTTATAAGGTAATCAATTTTAAGCCTTTGTTAAATACAACTAATTTTGTTTCTGTTAAACTATGTTTAGGTAAAGACCGGTGGTAGAGTACCCTAATTATTAATTTGTTTAAAGATACTGTGCAACTTATATATTCTGATATTGATTGTTTATTTATATAATTGTTTACCGCACGATGCGCTGTCTCTTATACACATCTAGATGTGTATAAGAGACAGATTATATACTGTATTAAAAAACAA